TATGGCAGCTTTCTGGCTGGTTAGGAGTAGGGCTTGATTTTGGGTCATTTGATATGAAAAAAAAAATGGAAGGGAGTCTTTTCTAGGATTATTCGATTGAATTTGATGCTTTAGTCTTTTCTTTAGTTATTATGATAGATTGAGTCTGATGCATTGAATTCAACACATTATGAAAATCAGACATCGTGCAGAATAATTTGCACTCCTTTTGGCTGTTGTGCAATGGTACTTTTGCACAGGACCTGAAGTTAATATTTGCATGAGTTTTTTTCCCTCAACGCCCCTTTTTCTTAGGGCTTATGAAATTCGACTGAAATACCAATATAATTTTGCACCTGTAGCTGAGAAATTTCACTTGTCAGGTGTCATATCTGGAGCCCTTCTGTATATCCGCGATGATTTTCCAGCGGTCAGGGACAATTACTTCTTACAGGTTCAGTCTAGTCTGCTGATAACTAGTTGTCTCAATATGGCACACTCTGTGCATGTACTGAGTGTCTGGGTTTGGTTTCTTCCTCAGGAAACGATTGTTAGCATGGCCTTAGTCGGAGCTATGCTTGGAGCTGCTGGGGGTGGTTGGATCAATGATGCATACGGTCGCAAGAAGTCTACTCTTCTTGCTGATATGATGTTTGCTCTTGGCTCACTTGTCATGTGCGCTGCTTCTGGTCCTTACATTCTAATTATCGGAAGGCTCCTTGTTGGTTTGGGTGTGGGTGTTGCATCAGTCACAGCACCGGTGTACATTGCTGAAGCTGCTCCTTCAGAAATCAGGGGAGGTTTGGTGTCAACTAATGTACTCATGATTACCGGAGGCCAATTCTTCTCCTATCTTATCAATCTCGGCTTTACTGAGGTAATACTCAATCTCCACTTAGGACCCTTGAAATTGTTCTCAGCCTAAGCCCCTCTCACTTAGACAACTAGAAATTAGGGGATCTTGCATCTTATATGTAAAGCTCAAAGCAACTATGTTTTGTTTCAGTTGAATTGAAAGATCTATCTATCTTGATTAGTAAATGTGACTGCATCGCATACAATCTCATGAGAACTATGAAGAAAAGCTGCATCTCATGAGAAATGTTTTCAGCATCAGTGACATTGAAAAGTTTGTGTTCTTTTTTTTCATATATATATTTTTACATGGCTCTAACATCCTTGTTGGTTCTAGTTAATTGCGTAACACTCTTTACTGTCAATGAACCAAGAGTCGGCCTTCCCCTGCCAGCAGCAACGGATGTATTACTGAAGAGGCATTGCTTGGTGCGTACCAACTTTGATGTTGGTGGAATGCTTGATCTCTCTGCTCTTGAGAGTTCACTGAACTAGCTGCTTCTTTGGTTTGCATTCCTGTCAAATGCACATTTTAGCACTGCTTGGCTCTCATCCTCTACTGTTCTTGACCAATAGCAAAAGCCTGGCACAATAGTGATTTTCTATTCCACTCTCTGTTCATGAATTCCTACATGTTTATGATTAAAATTGATGACAAATTTGATTTGCATGGTTTTTATTGTACTGGAAATTTGATGTGAAACATTAAGATTTCAGAACAATGGCCAAGAGGAATAGAACTCTTATATTGGACACTATTATGCTTTGCCACTTTAAGTGGCATATATAATGTGATCTGGTCACTATAATTAAGTAAAATAAAATGTTTCTGTTAAAGGGAAAAGAAAAGGGGAATGCCAACCTCTTTTGTCAAGAGACTTCCACCGGAGTTACTCCTAAGCTGTACTACTTTGTTGTGGTAATTACTAATATGCATGCTACATGGAACAGGTTCCTGGAACATGGCGCTGGATGCTTGGTGTTGCTGCTGTCCCTGCCATTGTACAGTTTGTGCTGATGCTTTTTCTTCCAGAATCTCCCCGTTGGCTTTACTGGAAGGTTATTGCCTTTTGGTCCAGTTATGCATTGTCTCCTTTGATATGATATATCCTATTCTTAACTTAGTTTTTTATCCCAGGATGAGAAGGCAAAAGCTATTGCTGTCCTCGAGAAGATCTATGACTCTGATCGTTTGGAGGAAGAGGTGGAGCTGCTTGCTTCATCCTCCATGCATGAATTCCAGTCCAACAATACTGGAAGCTATTTGGATGTCTTCAAGTCAAAAGAATTGAGGCTAGCTTTCTTTGCTGGGGCTGGTCTTCAGGTATGTTCAGCCTCTCTGGCTTACTGTTTTAGTCATGCTCTATTTTCTTTCAGTTGTCAGTGAAGCAGATATTCCACTTTGCTACAAGTTCTGTATCTAGATTCAGTTGATGCACCGAGCAGGCAACTGGGTGCCACCTTTTCTAATTTAGGCTCATCAAACCATGCAGGCCTTCCAGCAATTTACTGGGATCAACACCGTCATGTATTACAGTCCCACAATAGTTCAGATGGCCGGTTTCTCTTCCAACAGGCTGGCCTTGCTTCTTTCCCTTATCGTCGCTGCCATGAATGCCGCTGGAACCATTGTTGGAATCTACCTAATCGACCGTTGCGGTCGCCGCCGCCTGGCCCTTACAAGCTTGTTTGGGGTCGTGATCTCCCTTGTCATCCTTGCCTTGGCCTTCATACTGCAGTCATCATCCGGCCTCTGCACGAGTGTCGCTAATGGTACATGCCAAGGCGCGCTAGGCTGGTTCGCGGTGGCAGGCCTTGCTCTGTACATCGCCTTCTTCTCTCCAGGCATGGGGCCTGTCCCTTGGGCTGTGAACTCGGAAATCTACCCTGAGGCATACCGTGGAATGTGCGGTGGCATGTCGGCCACTGTCAACTGGATCTCTAACCTCATTGTGGCACAGACGTTCCTGTCGATCATGGGGCTGGTCGGGACTGGCCCGACCTTCCTGATCATTGCCGGGATCGCGGTGCTGGCCTTCATCTTCGTGGCCATGTATGTGCCGGAGACGAAGGGCTTGAGCTTTGATCAGGTGGAGCAGATGTGGAAGGAGAGAGCGTGGGGGGACAGTGGCAACTGCCAGAGCCTTTTGGGTGCTGCTGCGCCATAGGCTACCTGTCAGCACTCAGCACTGATCAAGCCAGGACACTTCTAAGATGGCCTGTCCGGCAGCAATGGTGGCGACACTTTTAAGATGGCCGCGTTGCGCTTGATCGCCTCCGTCCTAGTATAGTAGGAAGAAAGTACATACGAAATTGGAGATGCAGATCCAAACTGTTCTATGTGGTGGTGCTTATATTGGTTGCCTGATTGTACGTGTTGTCGTCGTGGAGAATGTTCAGTGCGAGTAAAAGTATCAGGTCGTACCGTGATGTCAAAGCTGTTATGCCAAAAGGCCTGTTGTATGACCCAGATGGGTGATTTATAATTATTTGTACAGTTTCCGGAATAATGTCCTGGAGAGACAGTAGGGCAGTTGGGCAGGCGCTGTTTTTTTTGTGTTGTCTTGGCCAAGTGCCCAAGTGAGTAGTGGTGGTGAGTTGGCGTTTGGGTCGGTCCTTGTATTGGATTGGAGTTGTCTGGGCTGATATATGTCACACTCCGATTGGGAAAAAAAACTAGACAAACACTTGATTTTTTCTGTATTCTCATCATATATTTTGCGGTAAAACTTTTGCCTCACTTTCAATGCCCTGGAGAGACAAAATGGATTTTTTTTTTGTAGATAAATGGAGAAAAAGAGCTGCATTGTCTCTGCCGGTATCTTGTCGAGTCAGCTCATCGGCTCACCGGCACCGGTCGTCGGTATTGGTATACAAATACAGTTAGGGCGTGACTGGTAGGCCGAGCTGGGCGTCCTCGCACCGTTTTTACTTGTCTATCTCATTCATGTGGCGTGTGTGGTTGCCCTGCTCGTACCTTTTGTCTGTATCTTTTCATTCATCTGCCCTCTTCTATCCCGTATGATTTCGTCTTCTGGATTTCTCCTTCCCTCATGACGTAGGATGACTTGATTCACTCAGGATGCAGGGACCCATGCGTCAGACACCAAAAAAACTGATGCATGCATGCAACCACAACCTCGTCTCATACTAAACCAACAGCAAAGACAACCAAACATGACCATCTGCACGAGCTCAACCCGACTTCTTCGGTCCTGCACAGCCTGGTCATCCTGGCTCAAGGCTTGCTCTGCAACCAATCATGCCCTTACACACTGGATGGCTATGAACCGCTGGAGATTGGAGAATGCGCAGGCAAATGCCGGGGGTCGGCAGGCCGGGCAGTGGTGGACAGGTGGTGGGCCGGTGGCCACCCTCCGGGCTCCGGCCCGCCGAGGCGTCGTCTTCAGGTGCGATTAAGTTGTTAACAAACCCCGGTGGCCCGGCGCGCTTTAAAAAAAAAAGTTCCAGCGCGCGCAACAGGATTGCACGGGTCTTTTTGAAGGAAGTCGTTAATCGTCCTAGAGCCATGATTTGAGGGCTATTTAAAGCTTAGGTAAAAAATCTAACCATCCAAATCCAAAAGTAGGGAAAGGAAGCTCTCGTATCATTCAAAAGTAGGCTTTCCTGAAGGCTTCTTCATAAAAATATGAACTCCCTTTGGCAATTTGGGTTTCCAGGGGCAGAAATTTTGTTCGGAAACAAGTTCATCAGCGTTCTCCTTTGATTTTATGCAACTCTGCTGTCGTGTGACAACAGAAGATGGTGCGATGATGTGCATATAATGTGCAGCTTGAAAGGACTTTCTGCCGGCGATCTCCGTTCCCTGCAGCTCTACAACCTGGACCAGTTATACGCGATTCGCCATTTTTCTTGTCTTTTGTATACATTGCAGTGCAGGCCGGCAGGCCCTCGCTGCCGAGGGCGATGCAAGCTACACGAAAAGCTTGTCTGCCTCGATGCCTCCGACTGCGTTTGCCACCGATGCCAATTCTTTGTCAGCTTTCGCCATCTCGTCCGCGCAGACTCCATTTCTGCAACTATTCAGTCCCTTATAAACCCCTACTTATAGTGACATGAATACTCCACCAGCAGATGAATACATACAATTGAATGAGTCGCTAGATTGCAGGCGCTTTTGATTCCCATTATCGAAGGCCGAAGCCATGGCTGAGAATCTACTGAGCTCTGCCGCTTCTGCCGTGACCGGCGAGCTCACAAGAGTACTGTTCTCCGGACTCATGGGGAAGCTCGATAGGAAGGACGCGGCCGCGGCCGCGGCTGCCGACAAGAAGCTGCGGCGGCTGGACATGCTGCTCATCAAGATCAACAGCGCGGTCGAGGCGTCGGAGAAGCACGCCATCGAGAACGCCTCGCTGGTCAAGTGGCGCGACAGGCTGAAGGAGGCCGCCGCGGAGGTCGGCGAGGTGCTCACCAGCTTCAGGCAGCGAGAAACGTAAGCTGCTGCTCCAGCTCAAGCCACCGGCGACAGCGACGACGCCCAGGCCCAGCAGCACCAGCACCAGCACCAGCACCAGCAAGATTCATCTTCTTCTTCCTCCTCGTCTACCGCTTCGGCTACGGCCACAAAGACGCTCCTCTTCTCAAGCGAAGAGGACATGGAGAGGCTGAACTACGCGGTGGAGAGACTGGAGGACCTCTCCTGCGACATCAGTATCTTCATAAAGCTGCTTAAACTCGAGATCTTGGCACCGGCACCGGCGCTGACATTCGCAGAAGATATTGGGTTTAAGAGGTTGCGATCGAGTCCCGCGCAAAGCAATACCGGGGACTATCCACCATCGTTTAAAACATCCGACTCCAAAATGTGTGCACTGCCTGAGCCCGCAGGGGCAGGGCAGATACAGATGGGTCCGACGGCGGCAGCAGCGGCTCAGGCGGCGGGAGAAGGGAGCACGCTCTTGGGCAGGCTCGAGGAAGCGGTCTCTAAGATCTGCAGGATCGTCGAGCTGGCCGACGGCCGCGACCTGAGCGGTTACGAATGGCTGGCGTATTGGGCTTACATCCTCAGGGAGGCCAAGTGTCAAGGCTGCGCCGTCCTTGGCGCCATCAGCACCGTCGCTGTCGCCGTCGACGAGGTCGAGGTGGCACGGTGTGACGATCAGGATGACTTTGAACTTGGCAGGTTCGTGCGTAACATGGAGAGCTTGGCTAGGGAAGCGGATTCTTTCAGCGACTTGGCATGCCTGTGCCCGACTGCCCGTTGTACTAGCTATCTAGCACGGTTGGCATGCTGGTGTCCTCGTCATAATATCGTCGTTGCAGATCGGGTGTCTGGCACTGGCAGAATTAGGATCGGGAGTATGTACCAATGTTTGTTTGCTGCAGTATGATCGAGGTATACCCGATGATAGTTAGAAGTTAGAACAGAGCTTGTTCATCGTGACCCCTGTGTCTGACAATGGGGAGTTGTGATTGTTAAACATCACCTCCTATATATCTGAATGCTCGGTTTGGATCTCATTTCTAGTAACAAAATCTGAACTTTAGACGATGAATGTAGAATCTGGATGTCCGTTTCGACACATCCTTCCGCGTAGGTCAACAGGAAAAGGCCGCCGCCGTCCTTAGATCGTTCTCACCGTCGCCGTGCCTCCACCTCGTGCCCCTCTCTTTCTTCTGGGACCCATCTCTTTAATTTCCAGTAGTTTTTTTCCAGCTACTTAGGGTTTAGTCCAAATAGATCTTCCAGCAAAATCAGATGATTTTTATCGGGACTATGTTTCTACGATGACTTCGATGATTGCCACGACAAGATCGCCATTGCAGGCATCGATTTCATCGCCAGACGGCCAAGTTGTGGCCATTAGAGAGGGGTGCTTTTAGGTGCCCCAACGAAAACAGCTACTTTGGGTCATCGATCTCATCGTCGTTGGTCGTGGAGATGAATAAAGGTTTAAAGGTGATGAATCCGCCTGATATGCTCCTTCCGACGATGCAACTTTCGATATTCTTTTATCGATTCTGATGCGTTTTGGACTCGTTCCGAAGCGTTGGCTTTTGCGACGTGTCCAATATTTTAGGGCTGGTCATTGGATTCGACTAGGACTGTATTTTGGCTCCGAGGTTCAAGGGATGTCATTGGGAAAGAAGAAGGTGGAAGAATATGCCTAGAATATTGTGTATTTTTTATTTCAGATTTTGCCATATATAATTTGGGATGTACTGTGACAAATTTTAATATAATCCTTCTTTCCTTCAAAAAAAAATGTAGAACAGTGAAAAATCTTCAAATAAGTTTTCTTAAGAGTATCATGCTCATGCCTTGCGCGATCCTTGTTCGGCGCGCGCAGGTACTGGTAGCGGCGCGCGCACTACCAGCTATTAGCAGCGCACGGAGGATTATCCACGCGCGATGTGTAATTAATAAACTGATGGCCCGACGCGCGAGCTGGTGCACACGGTTGCGGCAGAAGCGGCACTGACGTCTGCGATACATGCACAAACAGCCCAACCTATTTTCCTGCCCGCTGACGTTAAATAAATAAAACTTTCTATATCTAGGTTTTCATCTTGCATATCAAAAACTTTCGAATCACTCTACGAAACTTTCTATGTTTTAGTTGTTTCAGTCTTATATTGCAGCAAGTTGTTCCATGTTGCAAGTTGTAAATGTTTTATTCGAGCGTTTTATGTTCTTCGGTCGGGGCGAGCCAGGGGCCGATGGACGAGGGTGCTGTGGTCAGGGGGTCGCTAGGGCGTGCTCGTCGCGCGCTTGGGGCGGTGCGAAGGCGGACACGGCAGGCTACAGGGCGAGCTAGGGGCGCGCAACGCGCCGAAGGGCTAACGGACTGGGGCATCAGGGGCAGCGGACCGGGGTGCTGCATTCGAGGGGACGTGCTTGTCCGCGTGTGAGGCGGGGACAAAGACGGATGCAGGTGGGCTAAGCGGGCGTCCGGATGCGCGCGGTGTGCCGGACGTCCGGACGCTAGCTGTTTAGGAAACCAACTGGCCTAATAGTTCCAACTACACCGTTGAGCGTTGATAGACCGAGAGTCCGAGACGCCCGGCAGCGATGGGGACATCAGGTTAACTTCAGAGTCACGGACGATGATTCCTTGCATGATCTCCTCGACGAGCGTGGGCTTCCTTCGGCTCCCACCTGCCACATTGGACCTGATGACCGCTGACATGGATGCCAGTTCGAGTTAGATTAGCAGCGAAATCCACTTTTCACCACAATTGTGCGGATGCTGGAACCTCATGTTTAATTTCTGTTAGAAGAAGAAAATGATATAATCTTTGTGATCTTCTGACGTGACAGAAAATCAGATTCGGTGTTGCTTGATACACCGTGCAAATTATGGAGTCAAATGCTTCATCAAATGAAACAGTGGCAAAACCCATGGCCACGGCTAATGAATCGAGGATTGTGCACCAAAAGGTTAGTGTGGTTCCACCAACCAATAATCCTGGGGCGTAAGGCTCTTCAAACCAAACGTGCAGCACATCACCTCAATACTTTATTAATTAATCATACGTCCCTTAGTTCTATCGATCCTGCTTAATTAAATACTAAATTCGTTCTAAATTATAGTTCGTTTAACCCTAAGTTTGACCACTCGTTTTATTCAAAAATTTGTGCAAAATATCACTTCTTTTGTTGTGGCTTGCTTTATTAACAAAAGTTTTTCAAGAATGACTTAAATTTGATTATGTTTGCACAAATCATTTGAATAAGACGAGTGATCAAACTTGAAGTCAAAAAAATCAAACGAATTATAATTTGGAACGGCGGGAGTACCGAATATTAGCTCTTATTAAAAAGAGCAAGGAGCCGAGATACTAACCCAACCGCGCACAACCAGTCACATGGAGATTGTACAAGTTTATTACTTGAAAATTTAGTGGTAACGAGATCGGTGAGCCAACCACAACCACGGTTGGACTTGGAGATCAAGAGATGCTGATATGACATCTCCAAATCAAAGCACGTCACGAGGCAAGGTGGCGAGCCATCTTGAGGTTCGATGCGCGGCGTCCAGGACTCAAGAGCACATGGTGGCCAGTTGACCACGTATACGTGATCAGGAGCCAGCTCAAGCGCCTCCCTTAATTCGTGCACAATATTTTTTTTAGAAAGAAACTAGAGCAATTTCGAGAGAAGCCTTATTTAATTAATATATAGGCCTCCAATAACACCGCTCATGTGTGTGTATATATATATAGAGAGAGACACACACACACACTTCTGAGGCGGCCCTATGGGGTCTGGAGTTTTTGGAGGAGCTTCTGCTCTCTGTGCACCCTCGGCGTGATAGAGCATTGCCTCCACAGAACAGAACTGATCTAGCTGCTGCATGGAAGGTGAAGAAGTATATGTGGACTGGAGAGGGAATGCGGTGGACGAGAGGAGGCACGGAGGCATCAGGGCAACGCTCTTCCTCTACGGTAAGCTGTGGAAACCTTTCTTGAACTGATGTTTCATCAGGACTCCAGTGGTTGGTCTGTTTCTTGAACTGCTTCATTCCTGTTCCATGCAAAAGTACTGCACGATCAAGTTGTCGCAAGCTAATTTATTCTAGTGTAAGCGATCAAGAAATCATGTGATCAAGTATAAAAAAAGTCCATTCCATCCACCCCAACCCCAATCTCAATCTCACGACCGGAGAAATCCAACAATTTCAAATTAACCAAATATATACAAAAAATGCTAATATTTATGATGCACTAAATTAACCATGGAATATATTTGTATAACAGATCTATTTTAAGATACAAATGACACTATTTTCTACTCCCTACATTCCAAATTATAAGACATTTTGTCTTTTCTAGATTCATAGCTTTTAATATATACTATGTCTAGATGCATAGCAAAAGTAATATATCTAGAAAAGCCTCTGCTACCGACCGTGAGTTTCATGTCTGGGAGGGATGGTAAGGTAAAGACTTAGTGCTAGCTCTTCCAAATATGACCCTAAGCCATTTGTCCTTACAAAGAAGGGCAGATTCCTCACTAATGACTACAACTGAGGAGGTGACCTCAAAGAATGCTTTCGTGTCTTTGTCATCTTGTTGGTGGCCAAATTAAAGTAAACCCATGTTCCTGTATTATCTTTCCGATGCAGCCAGAACCATCTCAACTTGAGTACTTACCCCATTAGCTTTAAAAGTCGTGGAGCCAAGCCCACCTAAGGCCGTGGGCAAGATCACCATACTCCATGACTACAAGCAACGGACGCCACTTATGACCAATGCCCCTCCAAAGGAAGGTACGTCTCAGCTTGTCAATTGTGCGAATTACTCAAGGGAAGCTTAATCACCATTGTCGTGTATACCGGTATGGCGGAGAGCATTGTTTTTGTTAGGACCAAGCGACCTTCACAAGTATGTAACTTGGTTTTTTCAAGCTGGCAATGGTGATTAAGCTTGTTGAGTTGATGAGGGGCTGGAAGGCAGAGTGCAGAAGCTTTCCTGTTGATAAGGGAACCCTTAAGTTCCTGCGAGGAAACTTTACCAAATTGCATGGAATAATGATCTCTTGCACTAGGGTGATGTGCCGATCACAACAAATTGGTGGTAAGCTATATTTGTTAAGGTTGCACAAGATACCGGAGGCACCCTAAAAAATCTATGGTGCCCTTCATAGCATTCGGGGGCATCGACTACAGGGTAGAGAAATACAACCAAATCATCCGCGTACAAGGATGACAATGTTTTATGGTTTTAGGTCCCAAGGGTTAGAGTAGCAATTAGTCATCAAATTTACTGATCATGGCATTCAAACATTCCATGACCAGCGGAAAGAGAATGGAGGATAGAGGGCCACCTTGTTTCAAACCTCTCCCATAGCAAATCCTACACCCTTGGGTTCCATGAATGGAGATTTTGGTGTTAGCTGTCAAGAGGAGAATGGAGATCCAATTTGTCCATCTCAATGGAAATCTGAAGGACCGAAAACGGTGACCAGAAGGGGGTGAATGAGAGCCTCAAATTTCTTTCAAAACTTTAAGCCGCTGTCCTAAAATCACGATCCAAGAGCAAAGACACTAGAGAACAGTATGATCACAAGTCAACGGGTGGCTGGGTACCTTTGGTGATGACCAAGAGGTACAGCGGATCAACTGAGAACAGACGGAAACAAGTGCTCGAAAGAATGAGAGAAAATAGCACAATCTGCACAGGCCTGGACTGTCTGTCGTAGGGAGCCCGAACTGTCCGCGGGTCGGTGTAAGGTCGAGATGGCGGACTAGAGGGGGGGGTGAATAGTCCTTTCTAAAAACTAATCGCGTCGGCTAACCGAAACAAGTGTGGAATTAAAACTATCGGTTTAGCCAAGACTACACCCCTCTATCTATGTTCTCTAGCACCTTTCAAAGATACTAATTAA